TCTTCCTCCTCCATCTCCCTCACCCATTCACCATAGCCGTCCGCCTGCCTGGATGTCCAAAGGACAACCCAAAACACCTCCCACCTCCATCCTCCATCTCCCATCACCCGTCCCCCATAGCCAACCACCTTCCACCTTCTTCCTCCACCACCTCCTTCACCCATCCACCATAGCCAGCCACCTTCCACCTTCTTCCTCCACCACCTCCATCACCCATCCGCCATAGCCGACCACCTTCCACCTTCTTCCTCCACCATCTCCTTCACCCATCCACCATAGCCGGTCACCTTCCACCTTCTTCCTCCACCATCTCCTTCACCCGTCCACCATAGCCAACCACCTTCCGTGTCTTCCTCCATCGACTTCCTCACCTATCCACCATAGCCGGTCACCTTGCACCTTCCCCCTCCTCCGTCCTCGTCCGTCACCCAAAGGTCGTAAGTAACGAAGACGCCGAGGGGCGCTAGGAACACTAGGTAGGACGATCAGGTATGCTAAGGGGTGAGATTGATTAGGGACTAGAGGTGTCTTCCTTCCTTCCTCTCTCTCTCTCTCTCTCTCTCTCTCTCTCTCTCTCTCTCTCCCCCTCCCTCCCTATCTCCCTCCTCTCTCTCTCTCTTTCTTTCTCTCCCTCTCTCTCCTCTCTGTTTCCCTCTTCTTCTCTACCTCTCCGTTTCTCTCTCTCTCTTCCTTCATTCTCTCCCCTAAAACCCTCATCTCCTCCACGCTCCCCTCTTCCTTATTGGCACATGACTAACCTCTTTCCTTCACTTGCTACATTGCCAGGGAACGAACGGCAAACTCGGTCCTCACTTGGTGGAGAAAGAGGGCAAGGGGAGGGTTGTCGGTCCCTTGTGCCACCAGGAAGGAAAAGGAGGGTCACTTGAGAAAAGTGAGAGGGGCGGAATCCGTGAGAAAAGCAGGAGATTGAGAGTTTGGATAAGGTCAGTTGACTCAACCATTTCCTCGACTGCATGACTAAGGAGAATGCATGGCCTGATTGTGAAGGGACCCCACTGCGGGGTCGACTCAGGCTCGAAAGTCTATTAGGGTATGGCCCTACAAAAAATGGTGGAGGTGCCAGGTATAGGGTTAAATTGACCCTTACGATTCCGAAGGGGGCGCCCGACGCACGATCGTGTACATAACTGAAGAGAAGGAACTTGGACTTGTGCATGCTCTTTCCCTTGAAAGGATTAGATTTGAGGGCGGCTGGGTGCATGGCAGGGCCAGGCCTGGAGGAATAACATGCGTGATTGCACACTTGGTTAGCCACCTCCTTGGGGAGTGACTCTAGTCCTCCTCCTTTCGGGTTGATGTTCGCGAGTCCGTGGAAGCCTTGGGCAAGCCGCAGGTCGACACTTCCTCTGAGTGTGAAAGAAGGGCTCCGGTTACCTGGCAGGCGGTTGGTGCTTGGCCTAGGTCGGGTGCCAATGAAAATCCCGCGGCGGAGTGATCCGACCGACATGGGTGCCTTCTCCCCTCTTCTTCGGAGCCCAGCGGGGTCCTTGCACTTTCACTTGAAATGCTTGAAGGAACCGCATATGAACAAAATGGTAATCGAGAAGGAACAACCCCGCCCTATGAACGGACACACAACCGAAGATGAGGGGAATGAAGGGAGTTGCTAGACTCCAAGAAAACTAGCTCACCCTTGAAGATGCTCACGAAAAGGAACCAGGAACGATGTATGGAGGCTAGGGGTGAGTGGCACACACGGTCCCGAGAGAAAAACGTGAGGCGTGGGTAGGAAGCGTTGGGAGCACCAAGGGAAAGACACTTGTTTTATATGTCTCCCACTTGGGACTTGTGGTTTGCATGAATGAGAATTGAACGTCCTGCCATTTCGGAAGGAAAGGGTGGGTCTGCACCAGCTGGTGCGGGTTGCGAAACGTCGTTTACTTCGGGTAGGCCGTCGGGCGCAGGAAGGGACCGGGAAGGCCACCACCGCTAAGGACGCTGAGGGTATCCGGGAGTCGGGAATGCAAAACGAGCCATCTACGAATAGAGAGTCGCTAACCCACGATACCGCCTTAAAACTGAGGCACGGCAGTGATAAAACGCCGAACCCCGACAGCGAGCCTTCCGACAGAGGAAAGGAAAGTGGTGCCCTGTTGAATGAGAAAACGGCAGATAAGCCGTCACGGCTGATATGAGACGAGAAAATATGGAAACTGCAAAGATAAGGACCTTAGGACCTGGGAACTAGGGAAGCTGTGAACGACCGGCCGTTTCGCAAAAAAAAAATTCTCCATGTATAGGGCTAGGAAAAGATGGCGTCGGAAGAAGAGACTGTGAATCTGCGGAGCAAGGGGAGTCATGGTACAGAGAGGGGCGTGGAAAGGAACGAAGGGTCAATAAGGGACCGAGAATCAGCAAATCCGGAGGGAACAAAGGAAGACGGGAAGGACCTCTCAACGGGAGAAAGTTCGGGAAAGGCCGAGGGAAGTACACGAGGATCTCAAAAGAATAAGGAAGGAAGGGACAAGGAAAGATCAAGTCCGCGAAACTCAGATGGGATCATAGTCAAGAAAGCGAAAGTCTCGGATGCCCGGCGTAAGCTGGCGAAAATAGAGAAGCGAACCGCGAAGTATAAGGCAAAACTTATTGAAGAGATGATGGCTGGGAACGAGAGGGACCTTCCGGGAGAGGAGCTACGAGAGGAGCGCAGGACTAGCCAGGGCGAAATCAAGCACGGAGGGAAGGATAGTAGCCATAAGGGGACGCCTAGCAAGAAAGGGAAGGAGAAGGGGGACTCCCCGGTTGTAGAAGTGAAAAAAGCTATAAACCCACCTGCCATAGACAGTGGTGCTAGCCGCTTACCTGCCGCGCCAAAAATAATGAAGGGGTGCGACGGACTTTGGGGTCTCAGAGAAAGGGTACTAGGGTGGTTTGATCCGGAGGGAACAGCAACAACCGGAGAAAAGCGGAAGGATAGCAAGGAAGGAGAAGAGACTAGTACGGCTGGTGAAACAGGTAATTCTGAGGGCGGGCTCAAGAAAATAGTATCCATCCTCACTAGGGTATTGAACAAAAGTCAGGGCTACCTCGCAGATGTCAAAAAGAAGCTCACCTTTGATGGGGCGAACATCACCGAATTCCTGATAGACTACGAGAATCTAGCATCCCTGTTGAAATGGAGCGAGGAAGAAAAGATGGACCACTTAGGGCAGCATGTGTCACTAAGCTTAGGAAGGGACATTATGGCCATCGTCGCCGCCAGTGGATCTTGGAAGGAGACCCGAAATGAGATGATGAGGAAGTATCTAAAGGCGGAGAAAATGGCAACAAAAGCCCAATTGGCAGCCGTGCAGAGGAAGAACTACGCGACTTACAACGACTTCCTGAGAGCGTTTACCCTAGTAGCGTTACGAATTCCCGGGGTAACGGACCGGATCATGAGCAAGTATTTCCTTAGACAGTTCTCCAAGTTCGACAAGGATAAGATTTTGTCGTCCTATCAACAGACTAGCAAGTTTGAATACACGAGGGATGTAGACTTCATTACGGTAAAGACGGTGGTAACTGAGACGTTAGCCTTGCTTAAGGAGGGAGAGGTCATAGACTTGACCGGAAAGACGGGAGACAAGGTGAAGAAGGGAATAGAAAGTCTACACGAGCAGGTGCACGAAGTCGATAATAAGATAGAAAGAGTGGAGAATGCACTATTGGTAATGCAGGCGCAAGTTTTCCGCCCCGCCCTCCCGCCCCAAGAGGCCGTAGTTCCGACAGCAGTAGCCAACCGAGGATACGGTAGGAAAAATCCGGCCAATGAGCAGTGTCGATAATGCACGATGATCGGTCACTTTGTGCGGACCTGCCCAAGACTCAACCACGATATCATGCGACAGAGATGCAGCAGGTCCCTTGAGGGCGAAATTTTCGGACCCCAGGGGGAGTGAATAAACTGGAATTCGCCAGGTGGGATGCGGCGTGGTGTCATCATCCTGAATAACCTCGATATAGCCACCGTAGAAGCCGAGCCAGTAGCCGACATTGTTTGGGATCAGTCGCGGGGTCGCGGACCACAAGTCAATTTTATCCTAGAAAGTAATGGGCAGGATAAGGTGAACATCACCACCCGGCGGGCACGGGCGGAGAAGAAACTTATTCGAGATATGGTAACGGAGGACGTTGCGGGAACCAGCGCAAATCAAGGCGAACACGAGACAGGGGAGCTAGGGAAAGCCTACGGAAAAGCAAGGGAAGAAGAGCTGATAGACAAAGCCACGGCGGCAAAGAAGAAGTTCAAGTACCAAATCCCGATCTTGACCATGCCAGAAATCGACGATACCCTGAGCAAATTGCTAGGTACCATGGTATCTGTATCCTTTTAGACCATGCTGCAAGCAAGCCCGAGATTGCTCAAAGGACTCAGGCAATTGCTAACGCGCCGACGCGTAGAGGTAAAAGAGGTTCCATAACCACAAGGACAGGAAACAGAGGCAGCAGAGGCACCACAAGGGGTCGCCAACCTCCAGAGGATCTCGGGAGATCTGGAAGACCTGGAAAAGGCCTTTCCGGACATCCGCTTAAGCCTACCTGACCGAGAAGGCGGCAAGGTCATGAGGGCACCCCCCGGAACGAAGCTCAGTTTCCATGCCCTACCTGTAGGAAAGTTGAAAGTCCAGATCGGGACTCACCACACACACCCATTAGTGGACGGAGGCGCCAAAATTACCCTCATACGAAGAGACTTCGCAACGATTATGGGTTGTACGGTAAACAAGGAAGTAACAGGGAGTATCCGGGGAGCCGGCGGGGAAATTCCCTTTGCAGGGTATGTCACGAAATGCGCAGTTAAGGCAGGAATCAGGGAGTCGATCTGGTCATTTCAACGGATGACCGTGATGGAGGAAATGGACCATGACATAATCCTTGGGAGACCATGGTGCGCCAACATAGAAATGATAGGCATGCACCTGCACGATGGCACGTACATGATAGATATAGAGGACCCCGTGACCGGCCGGGGAGAGCTCCTCCAACTCCTTGGGACCGGAGGGGACCCTCCGAAGGGGAAATTGGCAACTTGGTCACCAATATTCGAAGATAGTACGCGAAAAGGAGCATTTGCCCGGATGGAGGGTATGAGAGAAAGAGTGGAAATTATGATAGAGGAGTCCTTTAGCAAAAAGGAATGGATCAAGATGGGCCTACCTCTGAAGAAAAAGAGGCAAGAAGACGAGGTTCTAGGGGTCATGGTGGCAGAAAAGGAGCCGGGAGTTGAACTCGAGGCCAATCTGCCTAAACCGAAGGAGTGTCGGAAGGAAACGCCGAAAGTAACGCTCGAAGTTCCGAACCTGTTGCAACTTATTATGCCTATCAAGTACCACAAAGTAGGAGTGGACCCGGCAACACTCGCCAAATTCGAGGATGAGGTCCAAAAGGGCTACTGTCTGAACGGAAAGATAGTCAGTATTCAACCCCGTGTCGCGGAAGTAGCAAGGCCGATCCCGACCATTTATTTTTCAGAAGAACGATCCCAGAAAGGAAGTGTTCGAAAGTACAAGCCAGTAGGAAAGAAAGCCAAGCCAGTCTCAATCCTAGTGGAGACATCAAGGGAGGAGGCCATGGAGAAAGAGGAAGAAATCTTGCGGGTAATAAGGGAGAGACGAGCGGCGGAAGGGCATCGGATACCCGATGAGGTAGCAGACACCATAAAGATAGGGATAGATGGGTTCCTAACGGTGGAAGAGACCCAGCTGATGAGGAAAGCGTGCCAGGAGTTTCACTTAGCATTTGCTTTCAATAACCATCAGAAAGGTCGATTGGATGGAAAACTAATTTCCCCCGTTAGGATCCACACAGTGGAACATGAGCGCTGTAACGACAAAGGGTCTGCCTACGAGTTCGGAATAGCAGCAGAAGTTACCGAACTGCTCAGAGCCAAGATAGACTCATTCGTGGCCGAAACCACTGCATCCCCCTACGCAAACAAGTGTTTTTTTTTTGGGAAACCCAATAAGACGCTCAGATGGATCCAGGATTTGCAGAAGCTGAATGCAGTAACAATCCGGGATGCAGGATCGCTTCCACAGGCCGATCTGCTCGCAGAATCTCACGTTGGCCGGAACATTTATTCCTTGATAGATTTATATTCAGAATATGACCAACTGCCGCTCGATGCCAGGGATAGACCATACACCGCCATGCACACCCCTGTAGGAGAGATGCAGATGCAAGTGACCCCTATGGGTTTTACAAACGATGTGGCAGAAGCATAGAGGAGAATGCTTACGGTAGTTGGAGACATGTTCCCGGAAAAATGCGAGCCGTATATAGACGACAATCCCATAAAAGGCGCGCAGAACAAAGACGAGACGGAGGTCCAGCCGAGGGTTTGGAAGTTCGTCTTGGATCACCTACAGAATATCAAGGACCTACTCCAGCGGTTCCTGGTATATAACATCACCGCGAGCGGACCAAAGAGCATCCTGGAGGTCCCAGAAGTGACCATACTGAGTTTCGCTGTGGGGCCTATGGGAGGAAGCCTGACCCGGCAAAGACGGATAAGATCTCTCAATGGCCAACACCCTTGCGCACTACAACGGAAGTACGAGCCTTCCTAGGGGTGGTTGGATTCTGGAGGGTCTTTATCAAGGGCTTTGCCAAAATAGTCGAGCCCGTCCGTGCGATGATTAGGGATGGAGGGACTATGGAATGGACCGAGGACAGGGACGCAGCGGTTCAGACCCTCAAAGACATCCTCTCCTCCGATCAAGTCACCTTGGCAGCGCCCCGCTTCAACGACAAGGTGACACGGCCCTTTATTCTGGAAACAGATGGAGGACCATTGGCGGTAGGAGAAGTCCTGATACAAAAGAGCGAGGAGGGCAGAGAAAGGCCTATCAGATTCGAGAGTAGGACCCTGAATTCTACAGAGCGGCGATACTCCCAGTTCAAGAAAGAGGTCTTAGCCATTCTACATTGCCTTAAGACCTTTCAGGCATACCTATTCGGAAGACAGTTTATCATGAGAATCGATCCGACCAACGTCGCCGGGGCATTAAAGAACTATAAGCCTATAGACCCGACCGTTGGGAGATGGATAGGCTTTATCTGGCAGTTCGACGACAAGGTCGAGCGAATTGCGGGGCTCCGGAACAGGGCAGACGGGCTAAGTCGGGTCTGCATCACGCCGAAAGGAACAGAGGAGGAGGAACCAATCGACGCCTTCCTGGAATACAAAGGAGGAACCCTCGTCACGGATAATGAGATGATGAACCTCGCGTGCACACCAAGACAGTTGCTGATTCAGACCCAGGAAAAAGGGGCGCCTGCTGTAGTTGCGGAACTTAAGGGGCCAGTCACCACGATTAGACGAAAAGATGAGAAGGATTCGTGGGAGGAGCTGATAGCGATGGCCGCTGAAGGAGGTCGGGGCGCCGTGATGTGCCTAACGGAGTCCTGGACACAGAAGGAACGACAGTATTTAGTAAGTCAGGCTCAGGAAAAGCGAGATACAGACCAGGATGGACGATAATTTTTCCTCATACAAATGTATGACGGCACCTTTCGAGAGATCGGCCGTGTTACTTATAGGGAACAAGCAGCCTATGGAAGTCGGCCCCAAGGCAAGGACGGAAGCCGAAAAGGATATCCTGAGAAACGGCCACCTGTTCAAGAAGAAGGGATGACGCCTAGGCGAGTTGTGTGCGGAAGGTCTAGGCAGTTGGACATAATACAAGCAATGCATGATGGATTAGCCGGGGGGCACCGGTCATCAAAAGGGACCCTTGCAAAAATCGCGCCGCTTTACTTTTGGCCAGGCATGGCAGGTATGGTGGCCACTTATTGTCAAACGTGCCTAATTTGCCTAGAAAGGAGCCCCGCGCGTGTTTTTGAGCCTCTTAGACCCACTCGGGTGCTGGGGCCGGGACATCTGATCCATCTTGACCTCGCAGTCATGCCCGTATCGACAGACGGATACAGGTATATCTTGGATGCAAGAGACAACCTCAGTGGTTATGTAGAGGCAGTGGCGCTTAAAAGAAAGACGGGGAAGGGAGTGGCCGACTGGGTAGAAAACTTCTACCTAAGGCACCCCTTCATTCGAAGGTTCATAGCGGATAATGGGACGGAGTTCGTCAACCACGAAGTGATAAGCAAGCTTAAGACGTTGTGCGTACCTATCAAGATCATTGAGCCATATCATCCTGAGGCCAACGCGCCTATAGAAAGGGGGCACCGGACCTTGAAAAACACAATTGCTAAGCTAGCGGCAGATGACCTCGAGAACTGGCCTCGGTCCCTTAAGCAGGCGGTCTTCGCAGAGAACATGACGCCGAAAAGGACGACGGGATGCATTCCGGCAAAACTCTGGTATGGAAAGGAGATTGATTTCCCGGTGGAAGCATTGGCATCTACCTGGAACAGGCTAGACGACAATCCGCACATGTCTACAGAGGAACTAATCACCGCGCGATGCCAATAGGTCCTTAGAAATGAGGAAGCCTTGGAAGATGTTGTTAAGCGTGTGATGGATAGCCGAATGAGAGACAAAGCGAGGTGGGACCAGGTCAAAAACATCCGGAAGGAGCCGCTCCAGGTGGGGGAAACGGTACTAGTCAGGAATTCGGCATTGGAAAGCACATGGTCAGGACAACTGGGAAGGAGATTCAAAGGCCCCTACCGGGTCGCTAAGCGGGTGGGGCTGAACACCTTTGAGCTAGAGGATCTTGATGGTACAGGGTTAAAAGGGCCATTCCCGGAACAGATGTTGGTCAAATTTCTGAGTCGGGACCCAGTGAAGCAATGGTTGCAGGAAGCTCAGGACAAGGAAGCAGGGGAATTGACAGCTTGAAAAGCAGGCCGCTAGACCGTAATTTTGTACCATCCCTCTACGGAAATGATCATGACTGCAGAGGTTTTTGTTTGTGTCGTCTCCTTTTCCCTGGGAACAAGGGTGACTGCGTGGGCTGAATATGGATGGGGTTGGGAGCCGGGGACAATGTATCATAGTTTTTGTGGGATAATGTTGGGTCTGCCTATATGGGGTACCTATGCGCTGGGGCAATGTACCATAGTTTTTGGGGGATAATGGGACCGCCCGCCTATGATGACACTCTGAAAGGACTACCAATCATATGGGGATGAGCAAGGGTTCTGGGGAGTAAGCCTGCAAATTCGCAGGGGGAGTGGGAGGGAATGTGTGTATATGGGGGCTGTCGTGTTTCTTTTTCTTGTTATGTATGCACAAGACCAAGAAAAGGAAAACGGCAAGAAAGATAAAGATGGAATTCGGAAATGAGAATGACAGCAACATCATCAACAGGCCTAGCGGGGAACGAGGGACAAGACAGGCTGGGGAACCGAGCACCAAAAGGAGAAAGTTGTATGTGGGATTTGACTTCAACCTGGTTGTCGGCAGGGGAGGAAGGAAACAGGGAACCAAGAGGCCCTCACCTCTTAAAGAAGAGGAAGAGATATATGTCCCATCTGAAAGAGAAAGCGAAGGGGAGAATGCGAGCCCAAAAAAAGGGCAGGAACCGGATAAGGAGGAGAGCCAGAGCCCTATCAGGGAGGGTGCCGAAAGTAGTGAACAATATGTATGGCATGAGGACGCATGTGATGAAAGGCCTCACCCCCATGAACCAGAGGAGCGTGAGGAAGAATATGGCCCCGTTCGAAACGACAGTAGTGATGAGGATGAGGAAGAACCCAATGAGGTTATAGATATCAGCAATGGGGAGGAGGCCGAAGAGGTCACGAGGCCAAGAGAAGAAATACGGGCGAGGGATGAGGATCCAGAAGATGAGAATGACAAATGGGCGCGAGAGTTTGGGCCAACCTGTAACCACTGGTTCAACCAGTGGACTAGTATCATGCCGCACGATTGGGACTTGAAAGCGCAGGAAAAGCTAAGCAGGGGGGAAGAGATAACGCCAACAACCTTCCTCACAAAAGGAGCGCTTGTGGACTTGCAAAAGACGAAGAGGACGATTCAAAGGGAATTAGACGCTCGGGCAAGGCAGGCCCAACACAAGACGACTGAGCAACAAGGGGACAGTGGGCGTAAAAGCGACTAGCTATAGTCAAGCAAGAAAAGGGGGAGAAGGAAAGGATACCTGGGACACGCAGGACTGTGTTGCTGAATTTTGCATTTCAATTTGTAGAAATAAGACCACAATGGAATGACTTTCTGGCTTAAGGAACGGTTAAGGGTCGCATAGCTAGTGCTACTTTGTATGAGTACTTGCTTCTTCAGAAGAACTTGACGACCAATGGGCTTGAGACTAGAGCTATGAGGGGCTGCCTTCGCCCAGGGAAAGCGAAGAGGGAAGGGGTATCGGAACAAGACAAAATGGAGGCATTGTCATTTTCTTTGCATTTGAATTTCTAGAAGATAGCCGCAATAGGACTGCACGACGAACTGAAAAGCATTGAGTAGCTAAAGCCACTTCGCTTAGATACTTGCTCCTTTGGAAAATGTGAGGATCGATGACAGTGAGATGGGAACTGGGAATGGTTGACTCTGTTTTGGGAAAGGAAAAGGGCATGGGAATTGTTGAGATTGAAGAAAGTTTATGGCAAAAGAGTTTTGTGAACCCTCGGTCGAATGAGTCATGGCATGAGTCTCTATGAGAGGTTAGGGAACCTATGGGTAAAGAGGCATGAAGAATCCTCTTCCCTAGGAGCCTAATCCAACCAGTCAAAGACAAGTCCAGAACAGCAAGAGGCATGAGAGGTCAAGAAGGGAGCAAACAGTGATGGTGCACACTCCCCTCGCTATGGTTGAACGACCGGGTGGGCTAGTGCTGCTTGGGGCTGCGAACCTCAACTTGAGCACTAGACGCTAAGTCGGATGTATGAATGGATAAGTGGATGTTATTGACAAAGGACAAAGGAAAAAGGCATGTGTAAAACCCAAGAAGATGACTACCTTCTAACCCCTGAGACAGAAATGGGATCCGTGTTCTCGAGGCCCACCCCCTCGGGCGCTAACATTGAAATGGATAAGGACGACCCTGACAAGGCCGGCCGATTGGAATGGATAAGAATGGTCCTAACCAGGCCGTTCGAATTGAGAATGGAAAGGAATGGCCCTAACCAGGTTGTTCCACTTGAGAATGGAAAGGAATGGCCCTAACCAGGCTGTTCAATTTGAGATTGGAAAAGAACGACCCTAACCAGGTTGTTCGGAAATGGCCCCTAACAAGGGTCATTTCTTTTGAAATAGGCACTAGGGTCCCCTACAAGAATTGATTGAGAGATGTTGATTGAGAAAAAGCTTGAATGAGCACTATGAGACGAAAAAGTCCGATGGGTTGGTCATTGAAATAACCATGAGGATGGATGGAAAAGAGTGACGCGTTGGAAAGAGAAGGGCAGGTTAAAGAAGGACGGGCCTCAAGACGAGAACGGCATAGACCGTTGGGACGGTCATAAGGATGTAATGTTGCAAATGTTGAAGTTGAGGATTGGAAGTGGGCCGACGGGTCGGCCTTGGAAAATAGTTATTGAAGAAGCGACCACCGGACTGGTCACGAGGGGTGGCCTTATTGATGAGAGTCTGTCGGACCAGCCATGAGAACCAGCTATGAGATGAAAATAACTTCGGATTGAGTGATGAGAATAAGATATTGCATTGCATAAGTCAGGGGACCCTAGGCAACTTTGAAGAAAGGTCGTCGGGCCGACCATGGAAATGGCATTGAAAAAGGTTTTTCTTTTTCCTCTAGTCTCTAGCCTTAGCACGAGGGGGATACCGGTGCCTGCACCGCGACCCCAAGACCTCTATCCTCCTAAGGAAAAAGTCTCAGCGCAACCTGTTCCTCTTAAAAGGGGATGAGGGTTAAAGGATCAAGGCACCTATCCCTTGGATCGGTGCGGGCCGTCCGGAACTAACTCCAACAATGAGCTCTAGTCGGGGAGTTCAAATTGCGCTTCATGCTGAGAGCCTAAACGTCAAAGGGTGAGATAACCAAATGGGCGAGAGAGCCATTCTTATTCTAGTCTCCTTTGCTCTCTCCAACCACACGCCATACCATAGAGGGGTGGCATGGCCGTTTAGGTCGGACCTCGGCTGCCCCCATTAAGTTGGGCGGCACTGTCCAAGGGGAGGGGCCGGGCGAGGTACCGGGTGGAGTCCGCCACCACCACGGGGCATTGTACAACCTATTTCGGAACTAACCGCGAGGTCTTCGTAACTGCACTCGCGAACTAATAGAGAGCCCCAACTCTCTTGAAAGGAAGAGGCCGGATCCAGAAAAATTACCACTCAGGAGGAACAATTCACGAAGGAAGCTCTTACGACTAGACGAGGCCCTGGGAGGCTTGGATTGGACCTGCCTGCCAGACGTGAGGAGGAACCTCAGTATTGGTGCTCGCCACGTAATAGTAAAAGGTCGGACTGAGTAGGAGGTTCCACCCGCAGGGGGAGAACTGATCACTCTTACCTTGTGAAGCGGATGGGCTTGTGTCCTTGACTACGGTCGGCGGACCAAAGGTCTGCATACCTCCGAGTGAGAACAGGTCACGCGAAGGTGTGCCATCTACCGATGAAAAAGCATGCAGAACAGCAAGGACTTGTGTAATTGGATTTGCGTGGGCTTGAGAAAGGGGCCTGGCAAGATGCCCAGAACAGAAAGGACTTGTGTAATTGGCTTTGCATGGGCTTGAGAAAGGGGTCTGAGAAGATGCCTAGAACAGAAAGGACTTGTGTAATTGGCTTTGCAT